ATGAGATGATTATAGCCAACTCGGTGCTACGCGCCTCGTTGGCTATCTATCATCTCATATCCAACGCGCGCTCGTGGAATAATTGTTAATTGTTATTATTATTTTTACCATTATAATGACTCCCATGAATATTGTATGAAACATGCTCTGCCTACTGGTCAGTCATTAAGTGCAAGCACAGAAAGCAAATCTTTAATTTCACAAATGAAACAACTCTCTGAAACATTGCCTTAAATCCAATTCTTTGCCAAAATACAATAGAACCCCGCTAACTTGAACTCCCAAGGGAAACAAAAGTGGTTCGCGTTGGCAGGGGTTCTATTTGGCTGAGAGTAAATGACTGAAAAATGGAATCAGATCCAAGGGAAATATCAAATAAAGGGAAATCAGAGTTTTGAGTTCGCTGAGTTTTTGAGTAAGTGGGGTTCCATTGTACAATACAATTAGCCGTTACAATATGACACTGACTGATTTTTGTACTTGTTCTTTTATACTTCCATTTGAATTGTCAACAGATCATGGATCCTGACAATGCAGCGAAAATTGATGATGTGGTGACGCAGTTGAAAAAATGCCGTGATGGAGAGAGGAAGTTCACTCTTAACTTGGATGATTCGTCTGGTAACAGTTTCATAGAAAATCCACTTGCTCCTCAAGAAGACCCACAGATAACCACGGTGTATTACCCCAGAAACGCAGAACAGGACGCCCAACTTGGACTTCCGCCTGCCAGTCAAAAAGAGGAGAAACGCGAAGAAGAAGAAGAAGAAGAAGAAGAAGGTGAGGTAATGGGGTTTTCATTGAGAAATATAAGCTGGAAACTGACAGGAGATTGATATCCAACTGCACGAAGAAGTGAACAGATAACGCGCGAATCAAGTGCAAATATAGAGTGTTGGTTATTTTCTACTTAAAAAAAAAATGCGAGTTTTATGCAAGCTGACCTGTCACAAACCTCTTGTCTATTTGCTTAGCTTTTCCTTCCTCAGTTAGGCCACATTGCAGATGTGTACTTAGTTGCCAGACCTTTGATTTGGAGTGAGGCAGAAAGTGACCTTGTCGTGATAGAGACCAGTATCTGATTAGCATGATAACAAAGTTATTTACTTTTGCTAAGCAGCAATGCTTGCATCATAACAAGGTCACCCTTAGCCTCACTCCAGTTCAAAGGCTTGGCAAAGTTCTTATAGCAGAAAACATCAATAAATGCCAGAGTGTCGTTGGTGTGGCCCTATTATGATGGAGAGATTTAGCTCCGCGTTTACGTGGAACGGCAAACGTCAGCTCGCCCTTTCACGTATCCCGTAAAATAGTGTGAACCTTATTGCTTTAGCTTCACGGGATCTCACGTCACGGGATCTCACGTCACGGGGGATTTGAAGTCACCTTGTATGAGTTACAGGGAATAGTTTTGGTGCACTTTTTCCGCAATTAACTTCTACTCTGTGAGAGAAAAAGTAAAGAATATCTTACGTACAGGGAAAAAGCGAAACGGGTTACTTTCACCTTGAAACGGCAAAGTGCAACTGGCAAACGCTAGAAATGGCGGGAAAACGCGGTCACGTGGTCACCGCGTTCACGTGAAACGTGAACGGCAAGAGTGCTAAATCTCTTTATTCTTTTCCTCCCCCACCCCTAAATTTGTCAATTGTTAACTTGCAAGGAGGCCTTCATTTATAAGGGCCTCTGCATAAGCATTTCTAGGCCTGGAGCAACGAGAGCTGGCCAGTGGTCTGCAAGGGGTCTGGTACAGAAAATGTTATTAGTGCTAGACCCCCGAACAACCTCTCGCGTACTCGTCTCAAATCTTCCCGCGGGCTTAGAACGCGCGTCCTGCGGCCAATTGATGACCCTATCGTATTAAACTGTTTTAGCCACCTTGTACTGTAGAGTACATTGTGTCCCACCCCTCCCCCACACACTCGCCAGACCACGAGTCTTTACCTATTCCTAAATATGCTGTTTTGACAATCTCAAATGAAAGCTTGAAAACTGAGCGTGATCGTTTAACAGTTTTCTCTTTAAAAGAGGGAGTGTGCACACTTTCTCTTCACCTTGGTAACATACAGCACTCAGTACTATGCAAAGTTTAACTCTCTTCTTTTCCATGTTTCTGCCCACAGGTGAAGAGGGAAAACATCTAAATGATGAGGTAGGAGTCGTTTCGATCTCTTGTCTTGTTCTATAGTTTAATACGGCGGCATATTTAGCATGTTCCGTTGCCCCCTATGGTAAAATGGCATAGTAGGGGAAAAATAAAAGTTGAGTATTGCTTAGCCTGCTTTGCATCCTGTAGTTTGTGTCTTCAAGCGGAATTCGCCGCGCTGAATCACGCGTTTGAAAACGCAAACTACCGCCTGCAAGCAGCCGAGGCTAATTACTGCTGGAATAAGCACTAACAAAAGTCAGGTCTTTTAGTTTTCAGTCTTAACTTTTTCTTTGCTTTTATACAGGTGTTGAACTTCCAAACAAACTGTCCCTCGTGTAATGCACCTACAGAAACTAGAATGAAGCTTGTTGGTATCCTCTTTTCTTACTATCACTCTGTTTACCATCTTTCTGATAATGAGTTTTATTCGATCGACATCACTTTTAATTCAAGGCCGTTCGTTTAACTATTTCGAATTTGGGTGTCATTCTGTGCATTCGCATGTCCCTCAGTTCTTCCGTCTGTACGTCTGTCTTACCGTTTAGACGCTCGTTTGTCCGACGGTATGTCCGTCCGTCCGTCCTCCTGTATGTCCGTCTGTCCTTGTGAACGTCCGTCTGTTTGTTTGTCAAACGGGCTTTAAGTTTCCAACGAAACTGTGGTGCTGCGTCGGTGGGAATAACAAGGTTATTTTGGTTTTATCAACTAAGTTGATGTTCTTTTGCCACCGTAAAGAGTATCAAAGGTGACGTTTCGAGCGTTAGCCCTTCGCCATTCGCCCTGACGAAAGGCCAACTCTCGAAATGTCAGCTTTGAAACTCTTTACGGTTTCCAGTTTGCATTTACTTGTCAACTCAATTGATAAAACTAAAGTTACTTTGTTTGTTCGTCAATTTGTCTTTGATTCTCCGTTCTACCGCTTTAATATATACGCACATTCATCAACGTTCACCGTTCATTAAATGTTCTTCACCGTGTATCACTTTTTAAACTGGATTAACCTTAACTAGTACACAAGCTATACCGCATTTTAAAGAAGTGGTGGTTATGGCGACCAATTGTGATGCTTGCGGGCATAGGTCAAATGAAGTCAAGTCTGGCGGTAAGTCATTGCGAGTCTTTGTTTGTTTGTTTTGTTTATTTGTTTATCGGTTTGTGGTTTGCTTTTTGGTCGTACTTTGACTCTCTATTTCAGTGGTCCTTGTTATGTACCTCGTTTTGTCTTGATTGCCCGACACACTTAATCATCCTTAAAGGATGACCAAAACTTAAAGGATGACTACATCCTTTAGTTTGCAAAGTGTGGCTGCGGGGTCGTGGGAGACTGTCACTACCTTTCGCACGCCTCCCTCATCATCCCCTTCCCTGCCC